GCTGGCACAATAAATTTGGCACTTTAATAAATAATAATAATAATAATAATAATAATAATAATAATGTAGCCATCCAAAATAAAAGCCAGCCATTTTGCACATGCTCAAAAGCACATGACCGTGTACAAGTGGATCACATTAAAACTTCCCAAGCACCAAAAACTAAGGAATTTACTTATTCTAAAATTACCAACTCCACGCTCCCACTTACCTATCACTGTTGTTTTCTTGTCAACAAAACTACCTCCAGTTTCTTGTCCAAATGATGACTTGGCAAATACATAAATTCTATAAGTCGTGTTAGGTAGTAAGCGTTGTACTGAGTATCGTGTAGAGGAGTGGATGCTAGCTTGACCAACAGGTTCACTACCATCACTAATTGATTCAGATTGATCAGCTGGTGCACGGTACCACTTCAAAATGTACGTTAAATTACGATTGAAAACATTGTTAATGTCAACTCCACTACGATCTTTAGGAGGATCCCATTCTAATGTTACCGTGGTTATACTTAACGAGAGATCCCCTAACCCTTGGACCTGTTGAGGAACTAGAGAGAGAGAGGAGAGAGAGAGAGAGAGAGAGAAAAGCAAAAATGAGGACGTACACATTATTGCACTTACTTCCGATGACGTGTGAATATATTCTATCACTAGCTTCAGATCCATTGTCATTCTTAACACTGACTATAATAGAATTATTTCTGAATGACGGTATACCAGTCAACATGTAACTCAACTGGCCAGCTGCTACAGGAATAGTATTAGTGTGGTCAAACCTAATCACTGTTTGGGCTATCTCATACGATCTGATTGGTCCATTTTGAAGGTGACAGAGGGGAGGCTCCCAAGTGATGTTAATGCTGCTTGGATTGATTGGATAAGCAGTAACATTTAAAGGAGGACCAGCTGGAGCTAATGTGAAAGAAAAAAGTGTGAGAAAGTAGAGTAGCAAAAACAAGTAATAAACATAGTTAGATCTACATGTACAATGTACATGTACTTTAGGAGACCAATCTAACTACTTCAGGAGACCTAGCTACATGTACATGTATGAGAGACCAAAAGTCTCCTAAACTGAAACTCCCTCTACATAGTGATTCTAATAACCTACCACTGGTAGAAGTGGCGGCAGTTACAGGAGCTGATGGCTCACCCACAGCTGCTTCACTGATGGTACTAATGGTAATAGTGTAGTTCGTATTCTCCTCCAGGCCAGTTAATAATAAACTAGTATTAATACTGTTGGTGATAATAGTGCCATTCTTTACACCTGGACAATCTGGAACAGAAAGAAATTAGAGAAAGACAAGAAGCAAAAAGTGATGATGTGAGAGAGGGAGAGAGAGAGAGAGAGAGAGAGAGAGAGAGAGAGAGAGAGAGAGAGAGAGAATCCTCACTAGTAGATACATTAGTTGGTTGATAGTGTACAATGTATTCTACTACCCCAGTGCTTCCATTCTGAGGCTCCTCCCAGTCAATTAATAAAGCAGTAGCGTTTGATGAGACAGGAGTCACACTAATAGCTTCAGGTGTGCCAGCAACTAATTAAAGATAAATTCAATGTAATTTCAAAAAGGGGGAAACCAGTCTCAAGGAGGAAACTACACAAACAAGTATGTACGTGTACATATACATGCCAAACATTTCAAGAATTGAAACAGGAAATGTTAATTTGTTAACTACACAGCCAAGAATTATCATACTGATACAGTAGTACTGCCTAAAGTTAATGAATCAGGTCTGATTACTGAAGTGATACAGTCCTGATAGGCTATCAGGACTGTATCACTTAAGTAATCCAGACCTGATTCATTAACTTTAGGCAGTACTACTGTATCAGCATGATAATTCTTGGCTGTGTACTAATTAATTTATTATTTATTGATTAGGAACATGCTAAGTAGGGGATGACCCCATTCCAAAAATTTGTTAAACTTCTTCAATCCTGTCCAAGAACTCAAGCCTTCAAAGTCTCATTTTTATACACTGATATTTGTAAAAGCTATTGTGGGTCGCACTACATTGTGGTTAACACTCCTGAACTTGTATAAACTGTTATTATA